CGCAATTTTTGAAAATTTAAAAAACCCAAAAAAAAAAAAAAAAAAAAAAAAAAAAAAACGCCCATGAAACTGAAATCAGGAAAAGGTATATTTGTATTTTAACTATTTACATGTTCTGTTTGTGTTGAGAAACTCAGACCTGCATTCATAAGGGAAACAATCAAAGACCCATTCCTTCATTTTTATCTCGACGACTCCAGCTGAACTGCTGCCTGATTCTTCTAACTTTCAATTTACTTTTGTTTCTGTTCAACTTTCCTCAGAGATTAAACATCCGGACATTGTTTACCGTTAGGTTCTGCAACAAAACATTTTACCTTCACACTCTTGCTTTAAAGTTAATGCTAAAAGACTTAAGATGAGACAGTTAGTACAAAATCAGCACAAAAAATACTTTAGTTAGTAAATATTCTTCAGTTAGATTCAGAAGTACAGCTGAAACCAGATATTTACAAACGCTATATAAACCAAAAGTGGGAAATTTTTTGTTGTTAACTTGTTACATTTCAGGAGATGAAATATATTTTCTTAGGATTTGGTTGGACTGTCGTTCGAAATGTATGACTTACTTCTCACAATAGTTTGCTATAATTTTGTCCCATTCCTCCTGACTGAACCGGTTCAGCTGAATCAGGTGGATCACATCTCCAAAAACTAACTTTACTTTCCTTAAAGCCACTTTGAAGCTAAATTAGCACTAAGATTTGAAGCCAGAAACTTTCATCAAACTTTAAATTCCTGACTGATGTGTCTAGAGATATTTCTTCAGTCTCCTTCATCACTCAGTGGACTTTCATCCAACTGGATTAACGGCCAAGATTTCTCTTTATTCTATAAATATTATCTGACTTAAGACAGGAAAGTTTTTATTTCAGGCATTAAAAATTATGTTTTCAAGGCTGTTATAAATATCTGGCTTCAACTGTATCTGATCCGAAATTTAAGTGTAAGTTTTCCAACAATTAATGTTTTAAAGAAGAAGCTTTGCTAAAAAAAAAAAAAAAAGAAGGTACTAAAATAGTTTTTGTTTTAGTTTTTTGGTACTGATGTGTTTTTTTATTACTCTGTTCTCTTTTTACTAAATAAAAATGCTCTTTTATTATTATCATTGTGATAAATATTATTATTTGTAAAGACTGGTGGGTTTGATGGAGTTGTGTGTAGCAGCTTATCACTTATGGACGTTGGTATTAACTTATGCAGACTTGAACTTTTGTAATCAGTCGGTCAGATTTCATACAAGATGCTGGAGAAAATGGAACGAATCCAGAAAACAAAACGTCTAAAAAAATAATATTAATAATAATAAAACAGTCCAGGAATCCTTTTTTACTTCTGTAAATTGTAAAATCTATTTCAAACTTCAGGCATTAAAATGTGCATCAAAACAGACTCAGTGCAAGCAGTCAGACGGAAAATTGATTTTCAAATGTGATGCTTTAACTTGAAAATCCAGTGCTTTATTCTTAAACATGAGCTGATAATGGTTTCCACGATACGGTGCAATTTTTTATTTTTTCATTTTAAATTGTCATTATAAATATGATTATTATTGTTACTATTGTTGTTGTGTTGGGAAAGTCCGGTTTGTTTTATGTGTTGTCATTAGGAGTCCTGCTGGACAGAGGCGTTACCATGACAATGAGGGAAATGAAGCCCAGCTTCCAATCAGATCGGAGAAATGAGAGTTTAGGCAGTTTTCAAAGACGATCCTGGTTACGAACTTCAACTCCGATGGTGCTCAGTGATCAATGACGATGATAATGGTAATGATATTTATAGTGATGATCTTATAAATAAAACGGAATGAGATTTTTCACT